GATGAGGATCAGATGCTCTCAGGCTTTCTCCTAAGGTCTGGATCCCTCCCAGAATGATTTTGTCCTTGGGAATTTGTGGGTTGGACTGGCCTGGGAGCCTGGCGCAGGAAAGATGCTTATCTAGGGCAGCTGGTGGCCTGCCACCCAGAGATGCAATGGCAGATGGGGCGGGAACAGGCCCCAAGGACTACTGGGGACTGCACTGAGGAGCTGGGTTGGTCTGGATGCAAAGGATCAGAAAGAGGTGTCCCAGAAAGATGCTGCCAGGTGGTGCAGGCCCAGGGAAGCAGAGGGAGGTGAGGTCAGGGCCAGGCCCAGAAGTAGTGCTCCTGGGGCCCAGAGAAGGCACTAAGTTGGTGTGGATGAAATGGATCAGGAAGCAGTATTGGTTCCCTAGGTGTCTGGGGCCCCAAGACAAGGAATGGGGCAGAGCCCAAGCCAGTAGGAGAGAAAGGTGGCAGGAGAGATGGGAGGGTGAATGAGGCTGGGGGAGTCAAGGCTTGGAGGGTGCAATGGACTTAACCGGGAGACAGGCCTGAGGGCAGGAGAGAGGCCTGCTGCGGGTCCTGCAGCCAAGGAAGCAGAGGGAGGTGAGGGCAGGGCCAGACCCAGAACCAGTGCCACATGAAAAATTTTAAATCATCACAGTTTATTCATTTTAGTGAAGTCTGCAGCTTACCACCTTGAATATGCCCAGACTCATCATTTTAATGGTTTTCCAGATAACTCTTCTTTATATGTATGTTTATACATATTGTTTTATTTAAATGGAATCATAAAATAAATTTATTTTTAAATTTAATCATATTTTATAAACATCATTTGTTTTTAATATTTTGTTTATTATTTTATGTGTATGTGTGTGTTGCCTATATGGATATGTGTACTCATGTCATACAATGCCTGCGGAGGTCCGAAGAGGGCATCAGATCCCCTGGAACTGGAGTTATAGATGGTTGTTAGCTGCCATGTGGGTCATGGGAACTGAACCCAGGTCCTCTTCAAGAACAGCCAGTGCTCTTAACCACTGAGCCATCTCTCCAGCCCTTGTAAACGTCATTTCAATGTCAGTCACATCGAGAATTCCATGATCTGCCTACATATATATTACAAAAAATATTTAATCCAATTTTCTTGCTTCAGCCAGTGAAAAAGTAAGAAAAGTTTCACATATTGAGTGATCTGGTAGATATGAGAGAAAATTGACCAAAAAATGTAGTCTATAAAGGCATCTAAGTTACAAAAATCATTCTGAGCCTATAGTGTAGATCCCAGAAGCATAGACTGTGAATTCAGAAAGGAAAGCTGCTTTGAGGTGGGGAGGAGGGATGTGGCCATCTGGAGATGGGGGAAAAGGGCCTCCAAGTGGAAGCACTGTCAGGGAATGAGAAGTCCCCACTTGGGACCTCTGTTTCCCCACAGGAGTAAGGGAATGAAGGCTCGGTAGACAGGCAAGTTGGTGCCAGGTTATGATCACTCAGCATGTCTGGCTGGGCTGTGGGGACTCCACTTCCCAAGTTTCCTGAAGAGAGGGCTGCTCTGTTGTAGGTTGTGTCAGGGTTTACTTCAGCTGGAGACATGATGGCAGAGCTGGATGGGAACATGGATCTGAAGCAATGTGCTAGGGGGGAACCACGGGGGAAGAGGGAGATGGCAAGCCTTGGCAGGTCCACATTGTGATGACAAAGGCAGAGCTTGAGAGTCACTAAAGCTCTTGGAGGTTTGAGTCTAGGTGGCTTAAGTAAGTAGTGCCATTTATTCAGAAAGAAAACACTGGAGGTCACCTAAGAATTGCAAGAATTTTTTACATTTTTATTTAATGCATATGGGTGTTTTACTTGTATATATGTAAGTGCACCACATCTATGCAGTGCCCACAGAGGCCAGAAAAGGGTGTTGGATACCCTGGAATTGGAGTTACAGGTGGTTGTTAGCCACCGTGTGGGTCCTGGGTCATCTTCCAGAATAGACAGTACTCTTAACCGCCAAGCCATCGTTCCAGCCTCAAGAATTTGTTTTTTCAAACAAAACCACTTTAAGTCTATTTTGTGCAATTCTGGTACTACATACCTTGCACCTTTCTTTTTCTGGACAGGAAATAACTTGGAAGGTACCTGTAAGTGTGGAAGCCTTCGGTCAGAAGGACTATTAAGTATGCAGACATCCCAGCCTGAGCAAGAGGTAGGGACAGCAGAAGGGATGCCCATCAGCAGCCAGGACAAGTTCCCCATTCAAGGAAATACGCTGACCCCCGTGAACCTGACAGATGACCAGATAGCTGCTGGCCTCTACGGTAAGCCTCCTCATAGTTTGGTGTCTGGACTGTAGGCAGCACAGCCAGCATTCCAGTTGAAGATTTATATGTTGACCTAGAAGAAAGAGTATATAATTGTTTGGAAGCTTGGCCTAGAATAGCCTTAATAGAAAGGAAACTGTGCAGTCTTAGCTACAAGTATTGCAAACAGCAGTTCACTTTTTCACATCCTAAAAGACATAAATTTTCCTCTCGGTTATCTTAGCTGAAGAATAAGTATGCCAATACCTCTATCTTGG